TGATATCCTAGCGTTTAGTAAGACCCTCCAGGAGCATGAGGGCCATCTAAGGCAAGTCTTGGAGAAGCTGAGAGAAGCTAACTTCAAGATCAATGCGAAGAAGTGTGAGTGGGCCAAGACGCAGGTTTTATGCCTGGGCCACGTTCTAGATGGAGATGGCATAAAGCCTGAGGACAGTAAGATTGCAGCGATTAGAGACTGGCCAACTCCCCACACGCTGACAGAGTTGCGGTCGTTCCTAGGGTTGGCAAATATAGAAAGTTCGTCAGGAACTTTTCCACCATCGCTACTTCCCTTCGCAGGTTGTTGAAGAAAGAGGTAATCTGGAAGTGGGACAAAGATTGTACATCAGCCCTGAAAAAGTTAAAGCGGGCCTTGATAACGTACCTAATCCTCAAGGTGGCCGATCCGTCTCTGCCTTTTGTTGTGACCACCGATGCAAGTCAGTATGGTATAGGTGCTGTTTTACAACAAGACGATGGCAATGGATATAGACCCATAGAGTTCATGTCCGCTAGAATGCCTTCGGAAAGGTAGCGACATCCACCTCTACGCTCTCAGGCAAGCGTTAGGTCACTGGAAGCACTACTTGCTTGGGAGGCACTTCAAAGTATATTCAGACCACGAGACGTTAAGGTGGCTGAAAACGCAGGCCAAGATGACACCTAAGCTTACTAGGTAGGTTGCAGAGATAGATCAGTACGACTTTTAGCTCAACCCGGTCAAGGGAGCAAATACAATGTAGTTGCGGACGCGCTGAGTAGGAGAGCAACTACTTTGGAGCAATAGTGCATTATCTGGATATAGGAAGAGACCTGCAACAGAAAGTCAAGGAAGCGTATGCATAGGACCCTATTTATAGCGACCTCCTCAAAAGAGTTAAGGAAGCTCCAAAATCAGAACCAGACTACCGCACTATAGATGGGTTACTGTTCGAGAAGACTAATGTAGTGGAACGATTGTGCATTCCTAACAGTGAAGAGATACGAAGTCTGATCTTAGGGGAATGACATGATACTGAGGGACATTTTGGTTGACAGAAAACATTAGCCAACCTTTTGTGCGCGTATACTTGGCCTGGTATGAAGGCCGACTGCATAGAGTATGTACACAGTTGTAAAGTCTGTCAAAGAAATAAGACTACTATGCGAGCCCTTCTAGGTCTTCTCAGACCCTTGCCTATTCCCAAAGGACCCGGAGATTCTGTGTCCATCAACTTTATGGACATAGGCGTCAAGAGTAGGCATGGCAACAGCCAAGTCATGGTCATAGTTGATAGGTTTAGCAAATATGCGGTTTTTGTTCCTTTGCCCTCAGAGGCACGCACAAATTTAGTGATACAGAAGTCCTTTGATCATTGGGTCAGTGACCATGGGCTATCGCTGTCTATAGTTAGTGACAGAGATACCCGGTTCACTAGTCAGAACTGGCAGGAACTAATGAAAGTCTACGGGTCTAAGTTGTTAATGCCATCTGGCCGTCATCCAGAGACCAACGGTCAAACTGAGCAGATGAACAAAGTCCTGCAGCAAGTTATGAGAATGTACATTAGACCCGACCAAGTTAACTGTGATGAGATGCTCCCAAAGGTAGCTAGCGCATACAATGATAGCATGCACTTAGCAACCTGTCGCACTCCCAATGAAAGCATAAGTCCTTTAGACCACACAGACCGTTTGAGGGACTTAACCGGGATCAGATTCAGAGGCTACCGCCCGGTACTAGGGAATTTGCGATACAGCACGAAAGGGAGATTGCTACAGTAGTTCAGAACCTCGGGAAGGCCCAGCACCGAATGATAGAGCAAGCTAATAAGCACTGTCGCCCTTCACAGTTCCAAGTAGGCGACTTAGTCTGGGTCAAGTTTAAAGAGTTTGCTCCTGAGGAGAACATCTCACAGAAACTGTTACCTGCGTACAGGGGACCGTGGCCAGTCCTAGAAATCAAGGGTGGAGAAGATGGACCGTCCTACACGATAGAGATTCCAGCACACCTCCACACCTACCCAGTTTTTCATGCATCAAAGTTGTTGCCTGGAACCACGAGTCAGCAGTTTCCATTGCCGAGGTCTATGATCCCCCCGGATATGGATGGAAGGTACGGCATTGAAAGAGGTCGTCCACAAAAACAGTACAAAGTTAGATTCTCCTATCAAGAACCTGAAGGCGACCGCTGGTTCACCAGAATAGAGCTTCTGGAGACAGCTCCCGATGTAGTCTGAGCCTATGAGAGAGATAACAAAGGTAAAGGTCCTAGCTTGGACTGAAGTATTCTTGGAGGACCTCGAATTTAGGCCAGCGGGAGTGAAACGGTTTTCACCTTAGCAGTAGCGGGTGCAGATCCCAGGGCTTGATCCCTAGACCTTACCGCACCCGTGTACAGCATCGAGTCGACCCCTGTGTGTTTGAACCCGTGACCTGTGTTTTGATAGTTGACTGTTGTCTGTCGTAGGTCTGTGTAGCTGTAGGGGTTCGATCTGTAGGTCAGTCGAGTAGGGGTTACAGCTGTGTAGAGGCCGTAGCTGCTACAGTCCTGAAAGATCAAGGTCGTAGCTGCTACAGTCCCGAAAGGCCAAGTCCACAGACTTCCAGAAGGTCCGGAAGTGGCCTTTCGAATGTTGTGCACAGCAGACCAGAGGCAAGTGGGCAAGTGGTGAGTCCAACATTGCTTTTTCGGCGGTACCCAGTCCCAGTCTCACTTAGTCCAGTCAGCAAGTACCATTTGGGACTGTGTGCACTATGGGCCCGGTGGGAAAGGGGCAGACCAGCAACCAACAGAAGTATAAATCAAGAAGCAGCATCCAGCCATTCATTTATTCCTTCGTGAGCCATGCGGAAGCACTGCCCAGGCGTCTTGTGCGAGGTGGTATGCAGATGCCCGAAGTTGAAGTGGGCCGTGAAGAAGATAGCGCGCCATAGTATTAGCAGTAGCCGGCGGCCATAGCTGCCATAGCTAGTGTTAGGGAGTAGTGTGTGTATGTGGGTTACAGAGTGGATTGCGTGTGGGATATTCAGGGTGATCCAGAGTCGAGTGTGTGCGAACAGTGGTGGTGGACACGTCGGCGGCAGTGAGCAGTTGGGCGCTCAGGCGCCATAGCCTGTTTGAAGCGAGTTTGTATCTGAACTGTGTTCTTGGCCGTAATATCTCCGAGCTTTGTGTGAGCGCCTGGCGCCAGTTGTTTTCCCATCTGTTTGCATGCATGTGAGTTGAAGAAGACAGAGAGTCTGATTGCACAGTGATTGGCATGGTTGTGCTCAGGTGTTCGTTTCCCCTCAACGAAGCAACACAATCCTTTATGTTCAGGGGGTAACAGTCTGGTTGCTTAAGTATCATGGGGAGTGTCAGTTCGGTTCCTTTTCTGCAGCATGATACTCCTTCTAGGCATGTACTTGCCGCAGCTCTTAAATTTGGATCTTTCCAGACTGGTACCCTTTTGCCTGCGGGCCACGGTCTGCTGCCGACGCAGCTGGAACATTCACGGACTTTCCTTGGACCGAGCTCCTTTTTGGATTGACCGATGACACCTACGGACAAATAATGAATTGGGCCTACAGGTTTGCTACCCTGCCGGTTTAATTTCGACAGGCCTACCGGGCCTACCCGCTACTGTAAGGACAGGCCTGTGGCTCCTGCCGGTTGGGACTCTGTCACATGGGACTTTGGGGCTTGGACTAGGATGGGGACTCTGAGATGCGTGAAGCTGTTTTGCAGGATAACATATCGACATTCACCGACCTTCTCTTTTGCACAGCTACAAACATTGTTACCCTCGGCTGCAGACGTCATCATGTCTGTCATAATCACTACAATGACATGGTTTCTGCATCCATGTGTGCAGAGGACTGTCCCTCCTTTCCTGACTGCAGGCACCCTCTGACATGGTTTCTGCATCCATGTGTGCAGAGGACTGTCCCTCCTTTCCTGACTACAGGCTCCCTCCGCATCCGTACACTGTATGTCCATTTTGTGGCCATGGGCATTATACTGAATGCATGGTCTTCTGGGGTGCCCATTCTTCCTTCATGTTGACAAGCAATCAACATGCCATTTTTTGAGAGTGTTTGGTGGGCATGCTTGATGCCAGCAATTGTGCCAATTGTGGTACTGGGAATGCTCAGCTAGGTCTTCTACGTCCTCATGCATCTCAAATTCTCAATGTATGTCCTCTCTGTCATCAAGGACAGACTGATTTCTGAGCCTTCTCTTATCCTTTTCTATGCTTTCATGTTCATTCCGCACTCCTTACTTTCCCTTGTCGCCCTCTGCTTTATCTTCCCCTCTCTCTGTACACTGTCTCTTTTTCACAGCATACAATCGGGTCATTATGGCACGTGGGGATGCAGGCAGCTCACACTCAACTTCATCAACATGGCTATCGTCTTCACCCGAATAAAACGCCTGGCAAGTATCGCTGTATGCATGAAAGTTCAACCAAATGCAGCTATAATGACCAGGCGTTCTATTCGGGTGAAGACGGTAGCCTTGTACGTGAGAGGCACAGTAAAGGGAAAGCTAAAAGAAATAATCAAAGAGGCAACAGTAAGGAAACTCCATAGGAAGGGGTAAAAGAATGGTCTTAGTGTGATCTTCATGTTTAGCTTATATATTTTTATCATTTGTTAATTTTGTTTCACAAAGTGCACTCTTTTAGTTGGCAGATATGAGAGAATATATGGTTTCACTGACAGAAACAGCCTCATTTCACCATGTTGATGCAGAGATATCCTGGTTCGACCTTCTCAGTGATGAGGACAGCCTAATTCGACTTTCAGTCAGCAACATAACTGGCTTGCCATTTTCACGAATTGACTTGACATGGATGAACTGCTTTGGTAACAGAGACAAAGTGGTTTGGACCTATCACTAAGAGCACCAACCTGGTTCAACCTTGTCAGTAACAGAAAAAAACAGTGAACTCCTTCAAGTAACTGAAATGACCTGGGTTAACACGGAGTCTTGTTCAACCCTGTCTGTCATGTGAATAATGATGGGAAGTGCAGGATGGTGTATCGTGTGCGGTCGGACACATAACGGATTTTGTTCATGAGATGGCGAAAGCAAGAGCAATCTGCCAGGATCGGCATTGTAGCCAAGAGGTGAAGACTGCTGGATGGTGCGACCAAAGGGACTTTCCAAACACAGTACTTTTGGAAGATACCAGCACGCATGGAAGCCAACTTTCTGATCACACTCAAAGCTGGAAGGCACAGGTTGCCTTAGTGGAGCTACCGAACGGGATGAAGGTTAGTTCAGCTTTGAAACATGGACTACAAAGCTCAACTCCTATCCTGCTCCTGTGTCCCACCACGTCTGTTGAAATCTTGAGAACAAAGTTTGCCAAAGTGGAATTCCTTATCACCTCTCTCTCTCTCTCTCTCTCTCTCTCTCTCTCTCTCTCTCTCTCTCTCTCTCTCTCTCTCTCTCTCTCTCTCTCT